GACAATGGAAGACGTGAAGAGGTAATTTGAGTTGATCAGTCTCTCAGATGTGAAGGACTGAAGATTTCCTGTCATGGCTGATGTACTGGTCACCTCAAATTACTTATTCACGTCTTCTACCGTCTATTCTCTGTATTCGATTCGGTCACTGGTTGGCGACTTACGGGTTACCATCATAATTTTATTTATTTATTTTTATTTATTTATTTATGTTTTTGCAAATAGTACATTGAGATTATGTATTTACAATAAAGGTTGCAACGCAAAGAGAACCTCTATTATGCCTAGGCATTATGGGCCGACAATCATAATTTTAAAGGGGTGGAAGGGTAAGCCAGTGGTAGGCCTCGGTCAGATGACAAAAAGCTCCAGCTGTGGGTTATCATATGACTAAAACTGGCATCAGGAAACATAATCTGTTACCTGACAAATCTTACTAAACATATTGGTTGGCATAACATCCCCACAATAATGATACGCAGATATTACATACGTCTTATTCATTATCACGTCGCTTTGAAATGCTATTAATATTACGACACGTCTTAATTTACTTTATCTTATTCCATCCTCCAGTCCCTTAATTCTCTCTCCTTCCTCTCTCGAGACACTTGTAATGACGAGGTACATTATCATAACAATCAAAACTAAGCGCTAAACCCACAAGGGTCATACAACGCTGGCCTTGAGGCAAGACTTCAACTTGTACAGTCAGGGTATAATCTGTTATATACCAAACACGGAAATGCTTCTCTGATAATAAATCACCAAAGAAACTGACAAATTGTCTCTGAGGGTTAAGGAATGGCCTTGGGCTAAGATGTTGTGCCTTTGATATACCTTTGATGAGTTTCGAGAGTCTCACTACTCTCGGTGCCCGGCCATGGCCTGGCTCGACTTGTGCTAGCTTGGTCAACCAGGCTGTTGCTGATGGAAGCCCATTGCCCCACATATCCATCACAGCCTGGTTGATCTGGCACCTGGTGAAGATACTTGTCCAATTTCCTCTTGAAGACTTCTACACTTATTCCAGCCGGTTCTGATATCTTCTTATAACACCAGTATTATTATTTAAATCATAACTAAGCTCTAAACCCATTAGGGTCTTTCAGCGCTGTTGTAACTGGCGTTTCAACAGCGACACAATACAGAGGTTATGTATCCAAGAGGATAAATTAATGGGCTGATGGTAGAGCGGCCGCTATGACACGAAATTAATGAGGAAGTGTGTTTTATGGGTTTCTAAGTACCTTATTGAACTTTTTAAATCAAGCGTTCCACCAACTTACAAATTTTACTAGTAAGAGCAATAGGTTTATATTCATTTAATTTTATTCACAGGGAAGCGTTAAACCTGTAGGGCCATATAGCACCGAAGGAATGGGAAGGCATTCAGGTTCGATGAAGAGGAGGGGGGTGAGGGGAGGATGCAATTATATAATCAAACTAAGCGCTAAACCTGAAAGGGTCATACAACGCTGCAGAGAGAGATGTGCTAAAGGAGGAATATGCAGAAGTTAGGAGGAATATGCAGAAGTTAGGAGGGAGTGAGGGGGGTCGGAGTGCACAAGAGGAGATT